GGGGCTGAGGCAGAGCAGGGAAGCTCCAGGGGCTGAGGCAGAGCAGGGAAGCTCCAGGCTCCAGCGAGCAGAGAAGCCACAGGGACCTGCCAAATGACCCGCAGCCGATCTGCTCCAGGAGGGGCAAACTGGGGGAAGAGCAAATGGAGAAAACACACTTGGCTGCTCAAGGGGAAGGAAGGGCAGGTCCTGGGAGTGTGAGATGTGCTGGGGCTGACAGGTGAGCCCTGCACTGGGGCTGTGAGCAGGACTCACCCCCGTGCAGACGGCAGGGACAGTGCAGGCGGGTCTCCATGCTGGGCCCATCTGCTCTGCCCACGCTGCTCGTTCCAATAAACACAGTTTTGTCTGGAGCTTCCCCTTGGAAGGGGCTGTTGTCTGTAATGCTCCACTGAGAGACTGGGGTCACAAGTGTGGCGATGCTCCTACCAGAAAAGGAAGTGGTGAGTGAGAGATCGGCTGCCGGGGGAGGCCCACAGGGATGTAAAGGGTGACCAGGCTGCCCTGAATCTGTCCTGGGATTAAAGGGCAGTAACAAAATAAGTATTACCTCGTGAGCAGGGGTGACTTTGGAGATAGTTCCTGCCCAGATACTCCAGCACCAAACCTGTGGCCCTGCTGACAAGCACAGCCCAGCCAAAACCTGTGTCTAGCCTGGGCAAGGCTGGGTGTCTGTTCCCAGCTGGGAGGGAGGGAACAGGGACACATCAAAGCACTTACACTCCACTGCCCACAGTAGGACTGGATCTCTAAATCCAGACTAGTTTCCTCTGGGCTCTGCTACAGCATCTCTCAATATCAGACACCTCTTTTTCAGGTTGCTCCATCTTTTCTAGTGCCCTTCCCTTTCCTCACATTCCCTCTGCTGCTTCCCCTAGTTAGTCTGTCCTCTGGTCCCTTTGCAGACCCTGCTGACCACCTCCCCACCACAAGCTATAGCACCATCTCCTTCTCCAAAGGAAGTAAAATAACTCTGTGGTGATAAAATTTGTTCTTTTTAGTAATTGGATAGAGTTCAACATACAGCACCAGGGTTGTTTGTACTTCCTACTGTTCCTATCCCATGTGCATTGGCTGTCTGACCTTTAAGAAGGCCCCAATTATTTTTTTTTTTTTTGCCAACCCTTAAAATCTTATCACCCCGTACAGGAAAGGGTAAAGGTCTGCCCTTGGAACAATAAACATTTCTGATAATTTTTTCCTCTTACCACTTTCTCCCTGTTATCTGAAGTCGTGTTCCCTTTGGAAGCCGTGTTCCTTGATGCTTTCCTGCCCCCAGCTGCATGTGGCCTGAGTGGGTTTCTGCCACTTCACAGTGAGGGTAGATCTGTCTGAAATCAGAATGCCTTTGAACACATCCCTGGGAGCCTGGCGGGGTGGGGATGCTCCAGAAGGAATTCCTGCATACAATAACTTGAAAAGGCCTGGCTCTCCCAGGATTTTGTCCCACAGTCAGTGTGGCTCCAGCAGAGATGCACAGTGGGTTCAGAAGCACAGCAGAATATGTTTCCACAACCACACGAGACAACCTCCATCTTTTTGTGACTAAGGCTGCACAAACAACATGCACTGGGAGAGGTTTTATCATTCAAGAAAGAGGTCTCTGACCTCTCCTCAGTGAGTCTGTGCAGCAGCAAAGTCTGGGCACTGCTGGAACACAAAAACTATGACTGTGTCTGGCACTAAATGCCACACTAAGGAATAAGACTATTTCTCAGTTGCTCTCCTATATGGCCTGGATATTTGCTGCCTTCTGCCCTTTTGTTGCCTGGTCTGGGCTCAGGTCACCATGTCTCGAAGCACGTAGCTGAACCACATCAGGCTTCCTGCAGTGCCTGCTTCCCAAAGGTGAGGCACTCAGCTGCAGCTGAAGGAAGGGTTCCAATGCCTTCCTGTCATTGGAGTCCTTGCTCTCTGCCCTCGAGAGTCCCTTGTTGCAAAGGCCAATGCAATAAATAAAGCAATAGTCAGCTGACAGTTGTGAGCCTTCCTGGAAGGGGAAACCAATTTGTTCACGGGCCTGAAATCACAGCTCATTTCTCAGGCTGTGTTCCCTGGCACTGTGCTCCCCAGGGCTCCAGAGGAGCACGCAGGTGGCTGTTCCAGCCTTGGCTTTCCACTGGCACTAATCTAACAAACCCAGGGAAGAGACTGTGGGAGCGTGGGCTGGAGCCTCGTCCCTGCTCAGAGCTCAGAGCAGGTGCAGGAGGAGGAGGGGAGGGCCCAGGGATGCTGCTCTCACAGCACACACGACTGCAAGGCTGTTCCAGCTCTCTGGGGAGCGGGAGCTGGGGGAGCTGTGCTGCCTCCTCTGCCTGCCGACCCCAGAGGGACTCAGGAGGGTAAGGGGAGGGCGAGCAAAATGCCTCAGCGGTGCTCAAAGCCTTTTGTAGAAACTGAAAGAAGGGAAATTTAGGTTAGATATCTATTGGGAAGAAATTTTTTACTGTGAGGGTGGTGAGACACTGGAACAGGCTGCCCAGGGAGGTTGTGGGTGCCACAACCCTGGCAATGTTCAAAGCCATGTTGGATAAGGCCTTGAGCAATCTGGTCTAGTAGGAGGTGCCCATGGCAGGGGGGATTGGGACTGGTTGATCTTTAAGGTCCATTCCAACCCCTTAATGTTCTATGATTTTATGATTTAACTGCATGTGAAGTTAAACATTAAAAACCAAAATCTTCCTTAGAGAATAACTAATCACTATGAAACACTATTTCAAAGTACCTGTTTTCCAGTGCAAACATGTTGCCTGGCTCTAGGTTGGAGTCATTTCAGGCTGTGAAGCCTGGGGTTACTGCTGCTGCCACGGGCTGACCTCTGTTACACCAGAGTTGTCCCTTTGGTGGCAGGATTGGCCGGACAAGACTTGGATAGAAACGTTTCTTTACCTTTTGGGTCACCTGAGGCATTGCTTATGCACTGCACCTCGTGGGAATTCCAAGAGCTCACCAGGGATGCTGACACATGGACCTGGGAGACTGTACGTGACTAGGAAACAGCATCCCCCAGACTTCTCAGCATTTGACTTGGTTAAATTTCTCATCTTACTTTTTAACAGCATTTTGCCTGACTCTTTTGCTAGACCTGAGCTGCTGTTCCATGTTGTCCACACTTTTCCCTCTTCTTCCCCCACTGTGTTACCAAGGGAACTTTCCTCTCCCTGAACTTGGTGGCACTTGTTAATATTTTTTTGACTGCTTGCTTACCAAGGCTGCTGTTCTGATGAAAGATGAATGTCATTCTTCCTTCAGCAGTCCCTTGCTCCAGCTCTCAGCCCCATCAATAATTCAGCCAGGCCTCGACAACATTAGCTCTGGGTGAATATACCACACTCATGCCAATTAACTGACCGAGAGGGCTCGGGAGATACAGGCAGGAGATTTCTCTTAATTTTATGAAGCTCTTTTCTGAACTTCTGAAAATTGAGTTAGTTCAAAGAGTAAAATCAGAGCAGAGAGTCTGACACAGTTCAAGAGGTGCCAAGAGACTCCAACAATGGATGTGCTAAAGCCCATCAGGCTCCTCTCCCTCGCTTGTCTCCACCTGCTCTGACTGACACAACACTGCACGTTCCCTGGGACAGAGCCTATCCCTGTTCATGGGCTCCTGGCTTAATGAGATGCTGGAACATGACTGCAGCATGTCTAGACAAACATCACCTCGGTGGCTCTTTGCTCATGAACAGCCTTGCCCGTGGAGAACAGTGACTTGGAATGACTCGGAAACTATATATAGGGCCCTGTGGACGGAGTGTGTGTGACTTGGATGGGAAACAGCCTTGTCTTCCTGCTCTCATCACTGGCTACTTGCTGAACTTACACATTTGGAGAGAGCTCAAAGAACCAGAAGGAATAATTAGCTGTGTGGAGGCCAGGTTTGAGGAAGCTCTTTCCCTCCTGGGCATTGTTGTACTCACCAGGGGTGGGTGAAAGGCTTGAACTTGTTACTAGTTGGCTGCTGCTCTAAGGCCTTCCTGGACTACAGTCCTGGTCTTGATTCCCGTTCCAGGGGAAAGTGCCAGAGCTAGTTTTCCGTCAAGGACGAAGGGCTGAAGGGGGTTCTGGTCCCACAGGGATTTAAACAGGAGGAGCTAGAACCATTACTGATCTGCTCTTTATAAAAATACGAGTTGAGCAATGAAAATGCCTCATTAGCCCAAACGACTCGGTAGCTGTGAGAGAAAGGAGACAGTTACCCAGACAATGAAAGAGACAAAACGGGTATAAAATTCCGAACACAAGAATACAGAGGAGATCCAGACTCAGCTCTGCAGCTCAGCAATGCTTTGCAAACCCTCACGACCTCCAAGAAGCTGTACTGATACATGTGGGTAGAAGAGGGCACTGGGAAAGAATTGACAAGTCTCATCAGAAAGGGGAGAAAGCAGGAGGGCTGGTACTGACCCCACAAGTCCCTTGCTGTGGGCACACAGTGGCTGCACCACCAAGGCTGTTCGTAGGGTCACAATTGTGGTAAAGCTCAACCTTTCCTCGAGTCTGCTCCTTCTGTTTCTCTCTCAACAAGCCCAAAAGGCCTCTCTGAGAAGCAGCTTTTTGCCTTCTCCTGATGCCACCTAGTGCCTGTCCCCAGCCTGCTCAGCCAGGGCTCAGCGCTGGCCCAGCCCTCGGAGCCACCACAGCTCCTGCAGAGGAAAGGAGGGAGTGGGGCCGGGACTGACAGGAACTGCTTGATGGCAGCAGGGAGACAGGCAGCTGGAAAACAGCTTGGAAAACTGTACCACAAGCAGCATGTGGACTGGAGCACAGCTTGGGTAACAGGTACTGACACTGCAGCTGGAGCTGTTGGGCTACAGTACAGAACAAGCAATGGGATCACTTCAGAGCTTTCTTT